CCTGACGAATGGCCCCTCCTGGTAGCCATGGTTTCCCCCTCTATATCCTTCTAAGATTCTTCGCTCTGTTTGTTTATAATCCCCCTTATTCCAAAATGATTTCAGTAAATACCCAGTCAGTTATTCTCCAGAGGATCTCCTCCTCCCGTGTGCAGCTAGCAGCTTGCTTCTTCTTGTCTGTCTCCTAGCACTTGCTCTAAGAGAAAAGTGCTTTGCTCATTACGTTGACTGAGCTCCCGCCTTAAACCAGGCACTTGAGGTGTTTCATTTCATCCCATCTTCACAAGCGCCCTGTGATTAGGGCCCCCTCTGAACATAGAAGGAAACAGCGCCCAGAGAGGCTGTAATTTGCCAAGGTGGTTGCTTGGCAGAGTCGAGTAGTAATACAGACCTAACACCAAACCCACACTTCCCACCAGAGCACAGTGCCCAGGAAAACTTCCCCTGGTCAGCCCCGCATGTCATTCTTCTTGTGGATGCAAAATAGCTCAAATGACTAGGCCATATAACTAGTGCTAGTAACACACTGAATCAAAGGAAAAGAAAACCATCACATTTACGGTTAAAATTGAGTAGTATAGAATATTATTCAGCCATAAAAAGTGAAGAAGTCCTACTATTTGCAACAACATGGGTGGACCTTGAAGGCATTATGCTAAGTGAAATGTCAGAGAAAGACAAATGCTGTGATCTCACTTATATGTGGAATCTGAAAAACAAAACAAAACAAAAAAAAAAAAACCCACCAAACTTATAGAAAAAGAGATCAAATTTTTGGTTACCAGAGGTTGGGGGTGGGGAGAGAGAGAATTGGAGGAAGGCGGCCAAAAGGTACAAACTTCCAGCTGTACGATAAATAAGTACTAGGGCTGTAACGTACAACATGATGGCTATAGTTAACACTGCTGTATGATATATAGGAACGTTGTCACGAGAGTGGATCCTAAGAGTTGTCATCACAAGGAGAAATTTTTTTTTCTTTTCTTTTTATTGTATCTATATGAGAAGATGGATGTTAACTAAACCTACTGAGGTAATCATTTCACAATACATGTAAATCAAATCATCATGCTGTACACCTTAAGCTTATACAGTGATGTATGTCAATTACTTAATAAAACTGGAAAAAACATTAAATAGTATAAAGAATGAGCACCATTAACCTTAGTGCCCTTAACACCTCACAGAATTTTTCTTTGGAAACTCTGTAGAAGCCTCCTCCTATGTCTTCCTCCTCTAATTAAATATTTTTCTTTTACTTTTTAGTAAATTAGGTAAATAAAGGAGATTGGTAAAATAATACCTTATTAACACAGTATTCTATTAGCAAGTCTTGAGATGTGTTGAGCAAAGTGGGATGATGTTTTAGCCCATTTGTACTTCCTTTTTTATGAAAGATTTTAGTTTTATTAACACTTATCCTAAGCAGGTGACAATTCTATCACCGTTCACATATCATCATATTTTACTACCTCATTTTTGCCTTTATTCCTTTTTTTCTTTCCTTTCCAATTTCCAAACTTTGAGGTTTATATGAGGAGGGAACAGCATTGATTGACCCAACTGGGGTAGTAAGAGAAGATATTCCAGTTCCTTCATTTGACCTATCTCAAATCCGGTAACTGTTCTATAGTGTGTGTTTCTTATGAACTAACGTATTCTGCTTATGGCCACCTGTGCTTCTTCCAGCTGAGAATCTTTCTACAAATCTAGAAAAGTAGAAGTCACTCTGTCTTTGAATATTGTTTCTCCCTTGTTTTTTCCCCATCTTTCTCTAATTCTCCCTAGATGTATGTTGGACCTTCTCATTTCTATCTTCCATTCATTCTTGGGTTGCTTATTCCCTTATTCCACATCATGATAGTTTATTTGCTCAGGTGGTTTGTATTTTTTTTGTGAGCTCATCTACACGGAGAGTTATTCTTAGATAGGAATCTGAAATGCACCCTGTGAGAAGGTGTCCCAAGGAGAAGCTTTGCTTTTCCTTCTGCTGGGATCCCAGGTCTTTTATGGATCCTAGAGCAGTTTTTATATAAATTTCATGGTTTGGAGTTATAGTAGCACATATTTATTGTAAATTTGGAAAAAATCATACCCACAAATGGTACAGGCTTATGGTTGGTGCAAAGCTTATGACTTTGCTTTCTTCCCAGTGGTTTGACTTTCCATCCACAGCTCTAGAGATGGAGGGGCCTCTTCTTGTACTTTCCTTGCGTGGTGGCCACGCCTTGCTCTAGCCAGGGGTCAACTGTCCTTGTTGGGCATTAAGATTCAGGCTCAGCCTCTAGGCCCATAAGTGGGGCTAATAACCTGTGTGCCTCTATGTATAGCATCACCTTCCAGCTGTCTCTGACTTTGATTTCCATCCTTTTTTCTAGCCCTTGACAATTTTCCATTTTTTCCTATAAGTTAGACTATATATTTTAAAAGTATTACATTTTTTTGCAGAATTTTTGTGTCTCGGTGGTAATAATGGCACTCACTCACATCTTCTCAGTCCATTATATTGAAAGCACTCTCTACGTGTGATACATTTCATTATTTGGGGAGAACAGTTTCCATGTAACTATTTTTAAAGACAATTATGAAATAAAGAAAAAAAATTAAGTTGTACATCATATTCTGAGCTATATTTACCAAAAGATCTTCATGACATTCATTATCTAAACTTTAAATAATTCTGGAATTTAAAAATTAGTGATAATGTTAAATGATGTATAAAATAATATTAAATGATTAAATAATAAAAATAATTCTCGATTATTTATGTTGATTATGTAATCTGTGGATTATTTAGATTGGTTCTCTAATCTATTGGTTATTTATTCTTGGACTGTCTATACCTTTACAATTAAATTTTGTTTTTATTTATTAATATTTCTTCCAAGTATTAGTTGGAAAGTGAGAATAGACATCAGAACAGTTTTGTTATTGATTAGGGTTTGGGAAGTTGGTTGCTTGAAACTAATAAATTGGGGCTTGGTTATTTTATTTGTCTTATGATATAAAACTAAGAGCATAGTATGACTTTGTAATCCAAATAGGTACTCAGTAAGTACCAGTTGATTTTAGTTTTTTGATTTTTTGAGGGTGGAAGGTACGTAAGAATGCAATATAATTATCAGATTCGTCTCTTGGATTAGCAATGATAATTAGACACAACAAATTTATTTTTAAATAGTAAAATCTAACTAAAACATGACTCACATGTCTTACAATATAGTTTATTTCCAATGAGATATATCAGGGTTAGCAGACTTCTTCTGTAAATGGCAAGATAATAAATATTTTAGGCTTTGTGGGCCGTAAGGTCTCTGTCAAAACTGCTCAACTCTGCAATGGTAGCAGCCATAGAGATACTTAAACGAGTAAGCGTAGCTGTGGCCAGTAACACTCTACTTACAAAAACAGGTGGCAGACCTTATTTGACACACAGGCCATCATTTACCAAACTCTGATCTATACTAATGAAAGCAATCAATTATAAAGAAATAAGAAGTTTTGTTGTGAAATATTTTTCAACATAGGTTGATATATACATAAACATTATTCTTTGAGAAATTACCTCATATAAAGTACTGATACAGTCATTCTCAGAAGATATGGCAAAGAAGGACTAGTCCCTGTTTATCTTGTCTTGGCTTTCTCTTCTCACTTCATGCTTCAGAGAATGATATACAGTCATGCACCACATAAGGACGTTTCAGTCAATGACAGACCACATTACAATGATGGTCCCATAGGATTAGTACCATATAGCCTAGTTGTGTAGTAGGCTATACCATCTAGGTTTGTGTAAGTATTGTAGGGGAGGAAGAAATTTTCCTCTACCCTTCTAGTTTCTTCTGGCTGGTCTAAGAATTAAGTTGACATGAGACAGATTAACAGGAGAAAAACAAACAAAAGTTTAATAACATGTATACATGGGAGAAACCCAGGAAAACTGAGTAACTCACCAAAATGGCCAAAGTCCTCACCTTAAATACCATCCTCAGCTAAAGACAAAAGAAGATGTTGTGGGTGGGGAGAGTCAGGGACTTAAGGGAAGGAAGGCAATTCACAGGTTGGTAAAAAGTAGTAAATGTTTGGAAAACAAGTGTTTGGCCACACAGAAACTCAAGAACACGGAGGGGAGCCCAACAAACAGGCTTTTCTCTGTTCCTCCCTGCCTACCACCTAGCTCATGCTGTGCTAATGTGATAGCTCGCTTCCTGAGACAGATTTTTTCAATCTCAATTCTTTTAGGCAATTAAGGGGGAGATAACGAGGAAAACTTCTGAGTCTTTTGTTTCTTAAGAACAACCAGCCTAAAATAATCCTCATGTTAAAAAGATATATTTTGGGGTGGCAAATTTTGTTCCTCTCAGTACACTTGATGATGTTTGCACATTGACGAAATCACCTGATGATGCCTTTCTCGGGATGTATCCCTTCATTAAGCAACACATGACTGTAATTCACAAACTTTATTTAAAAGTGTAGCTTGCCTCTCTGGAGCTGAAACTTCAAACTGAGTATAAGTTAATGTTTGTAAACTACCTCTAATTTGTAAAAATTAGTACAAAGAAGTGTTTTTTCTCTTTTTGAAAAATAATATTTTACTATATGCATCACTGTGAATATACTATACATGTTGCAATACATTAAGAGTGATCCTTCAGCTTTATCACTATACAAAACTGTTGCAAGAGCCCAAAATATATAAAATTAGAGTAATTTATATATGTAACAGACATTATAAAATGGAAATTGTATCATTCCTATCAGTAAGCCATGATCATCGGCATAGTTATTTTATAATTTTATTACTGCATACGATAATCAAATACAGTGAGCCAGAACAGTAATTTTCCTCTAAGAGAATAAGCAGGACTTATATAAATTGGAAATAAGAAAAAAAAAACCTAAAAAATATTTTATAAAGTTTCCTCTGATAAATAAATGACAAGCAATAGGATATATTGGCATATATGAGGAAGCCATTTGGGGTAAAACTAATTCAGCCTGAACTGTTTTTTCCAAAAGGGCCTAACATGGCCATTGAGCATGGATTGTACATCTGCTTTAAGTATTTACTATGTCCCAAAGACAAGAATGATGCCCTTAAAGATAAGGATGTAACTTCCCCCACATTGGCATTTCCTTAAGGATAAGCATCTCTCCCTAAACTGAGGATTGATTGCTGACCTACTGTGCTCACCTTGTGACCACCCACCTTGCGACCATTGACCTGCTGTGTTCACCAAATTGCTGTGCCAGCAAAGCAATCTCGTGACTATTATAAAAGGGACATTCCAATCACAAGTGATACATGCTCTTTGAAGGTATATTAACCACTCTGTACACCCCACTTCTTTGGAGTGCTCCATTCCTTTGTGAAAGGACACTCCTGGGCTATATAGTCCTCAGGGTTGGCTCATAATATACTTACCCCAATGTTGATTTATAGATTGGTTATGCATTATTTGTGTTGACACCTCATTTGACATTTGAAAAATTTTATAATTTCATTAGACTAAATATTCTTAGTTTCATACTGAGAAGGGTCCCAGATTTTTCTATGTTGTTTAATTTAAAAATATTAACTACACATTGAAAATTGATGTTAGACTTTATTTGCTACACAGTAAACAATTAGGAGATATTTTTCTAACTTACAGATTTTGGTTACTTTTGGATTTTTTTTCAAATAAAATAAATGGTCCAAGGTGATGAAAAGAAAGTTATTTGTATACTCTTTTGTTAAGAATATTTTCCTGCAGACAAACAAAATAAACTACTTTTGTTAGATTTAGAAAGTGAATCCCAGATTTGGAGGTGTTGTTCACTAGAAGTAGAGTGGGAGAACACAGCAGAGCCTATAGAATACAGCATGTAGCCTGTTTGTTCCAAGAGCAAATGTGGTGAGGAATGTGGCAGTGAGAAATCTCTCAAGTTGCACACATGAACATTATTTCCGTGCTTAAGTTAGAAAAATAATAGTGTTCCATAAAAATGGAAGGGAGGACGTGGGACAACAAACCTCTCATTCGTTGCTGATGGGAATGCAAAATGATTTGGCCAGTTTGGAAGACAGTTTGGCACTTCCTTTCAAAATTAAATATACTGTTACCATATGTTCCAGCAGTCGTGTTCCATGGTACTTACTCCATAGAATTGAAAACATACCTACACAAAAATCTGCACACAGATGTTTATAGCAGCTTTATTCATAATTGCCAAAACTTGCAAGCAACCAAGATGCACTTCAGTAAATGAATGGATAAATAAATTGTGGTACATCCAGACAATGGAATAATATTCAGTGATAAAAAGAAATGAGCTATCAAGCTACAAAGAGACATGGAAGAACCTTAAAAGCATATAAGTGAGTGAAAGAAGTCAATCTGAAAAGGCTACATACTCAATGATTCCATCTATATGACATTCTGGGAGACTCAAAATTATGGAGACAGCCAAAAGAGCATTTTCAGGGGAGTGAAAATACTCTGTATGAATCAATAACAGGAGGAAAGCTGGAAAATTCACAAATTCACAAAATTCACAAATATGTGGAAATTAAACAACACACTCCTAAAAACCAATGGGTGAAAGAAGAAATCAGAAGAGAAATTAAAAAAAAAAAAAAAAAACCCTGAAACAAATGAAAATGGCAGTACAACATACCAAAATCTAGGAAATGCTGCAAAAGCAGTTCTAAGAGGGAAGTTGATAGCAATAAACACCTACATTAAGAAAAAAGGAAGATCTCAAATAAACAACCTCACTTTATACCTCAAGGATCTAGAAAAGAAGAACACTATGCTCAAATTTAGCAGAAGGAAGGAGATAACAAAGATAAGAGCAGAAATAAATGAAATAGAGACCAGAAAAACAATAGAAAAGCTCAATGAAACTAAGAGCTGGTTTTTTGAAAGAATAAACAAAATCAACAAACATTTAGCTAGACTAAGAAAAAAAGAAGATTCAAATAAGTCAGATATTAGAGAGGAGACATTACAACTAATACCAAAGAAATACCAAGGACCATAAAATACTACTATGAACAATTATTCACCAACAAATTGGAAAACCTAGAAGAAATGGATCAATTCCTAGAAGCATAAAACCTACCAAAACTGAATCATGAAGCAATAGAAAATCTAAACAGACTAATAATGAGTCCTGAGATTAAATCTGTAATCAAAAATCTCCCAACAAAGAAAAGCCCAGGACCAGATGGCTTCCCTGGTGAATTCTACCAAACATTTAAAGAAGAACTAACATCAATTCTTCTCAAACTGTTCCAAAAATTTGAAGAGGAGGGAGCACTCCCAAACTCATTTTACCAGCCCAGCATTATGCTGATACCAAAGCCAGAAAAGCACACTACAAGAAAAGAAAACTACATGGAATATCTTTGATGAACATAGATGCAAAAATTCTCAACAAAATTTTAGCAAGCCAAATTTAACAGCACATTAAAAGGATTGTACAGAGTGATCAAGTGGGATTTATCTCTGGGATGAAGGATAGTTCAACATACTCAAATCAATAAATATAATACACTACATTAGTAGAATGAAAGATAAAATTCATATGATCATCTCAATAGATGCAGAAAAAGCATTTGACAAAATACAATATCCTTTCCTGATAAAAACACTAAACAAATTGGGTATAGAAGGAACATAACTCAACATAGTAAAGGCCATGTATGACAAGCCCACAGCTAACATAATATTCAATGGTGAAAGATTGAAAGGTTTTCCTTTAACATCAGGAACAAGAAAAGGGTGCCCACTCTCACCACTCTTATTCAACATAGTACTGGAAATCCTAGCCAGAGCAATCAGGCAATAGAAAGAAATAAAAGACATCCAAATTGGAAAGGAAGAAGTAAAGTTGTTTTTGTTTTCAGATGATATGATCTTATATATAGAAAATCCTAAAGATTCCGCCAAAAATCTATTAGAATTAATCAACAAATTCAGTAAAGTTACAGGATACAAAGTGAACATAAAAAATCAGCTGCATTTCTGTACACTAACAACCAAGTAGCAGAAAGAGAAATAAAGAATACCAATTTACAATAGCATCAAAAAGAACAAAATACTTAGGAATAAATTTAACCAAGGAGATGATTGGTACATGGAAAACTACAAGACTTTGATGAAAGAAATTGAAGAAAGACACAAACAAATAGAAAGATAGCCCATGTTTATGGATTGAAAGAAGTAATATTGTTAAAATGTCCATGCTACCCAAAGCCATCTACAGATTCAATGCAATCCCTATCAAAATTCCAATGGCATTTTTCACAGGAATATAAAAAACAATCATAAAATTTTTATGAAACCACAAAAGACCCCAAATAGCCAAAGCAATCCTGAGAAAGAAGAACAAAGCTGGAGGAATCACACTTCCTGATTTCAAACTATACTCCAAAGCTATAGTAATCAAAAAAGTATGGAATTAGCATAAAAATAGACACACCAAAAAACAAATAATCCTATTAAAAATGGGCAATGTACCTGAATAGATACTTTCCAAACAAGATATACAATGGCCAACAGGTACATGAACAGTTGGCTCAATATCACTAATCATCAGGGAAATACAAACAAAAAAATCACAATGAAATATCACCTCATACCTGTGGGAATGGCTTTATCAAAAAGACAAAAGGTAACGTGCTGGCAAAGATGTTAAGAAAAGGAAACCCTTGTGCACTGTTGGCGGGAATGTAAATTGGTACAGCCATTATGGAAAACAGTATGAAGGTACCTCAAAAAATTAAAAATAGAGCTACCATAATCCAGCAATCCCACTTCTGTGTATATATACAAAGGAAAGGAAAACAGGATCTTGAATAGATATCTGCCCTCCCATGTTCATTGCAACATTATTCACCTTAGCCAAGATATGGAAATAACCTAAGTGTCCATCAGCAGATGAATGGATGAAGAAGATGTGGTATACATATGTATATAATTCAGCCATGAGAAAGAAGGAAATCCTGCCATTTGCAGGATGGACGTGGATAGACCTTAAGGGCATTATGCTAAATGAAATAAGTCGGACACAGAAGGCCAAATATTGCATGACATCACTATATGTGGAATCTGAAAGAGCTGAACTCATAGAAACAGAGAGTAGAGTGCTGGTTACCAGGGGTTTAGGGCAGGGAGAAAGAGAAGATATTTGTTAAAGGGTACAAACTTCCAGTTATGAGACAAGTAAGTTCTGGGGATCTAATGTATTGCATGGTGATTATAGTTAATAATACTGTATTATATACTTGGAAGTTGCTAAGAGAGTAGATCTTAAGTGCTCTCACCACAAAAAGGAAATGGTAATTATGTGATGTGATGGAGGTGTTAATAACACTATGGTGGGAATCGATTTGCAATATATACGTGTATCAAATCAACACATTGTACACCTTAAACTTACACAGTGTTATATGTCAAATATACCTCAATAAAGCTGGAAAGAAAAAAAATGTATGGAACCATCCTCCTCAGAAAAAGAAAATACTCTGTGATATTATAATGATGGGTATATATCTTTATACATGTGTCCAAACCCATAGAACGTACATCACCAAGAGTGGACCTATGGCAAACTATGAACTTGCAGTGATTATGATGTGTCAATCTAGGTTCATCCTTGGTAAAAAAAAAAAAAAATGTACCATTCTGGTGAGTGATATTGATAATGGGGGAGGCTATGCATGTGTAGGTGCAGGAGGTAATATGAGAAATCTCTGTACCTCCCTCTTAATTTTGTTGTAAACCTAAAACTGCTCTAAAAAAATAGTCTTAAAAAAAAAAACTGAGCAGTGGATATATTCACCACATTTTCTTTATTCATTCATGTGTTGATGGACAATTAGGTTGTTTCCATATCTTGTCTATTGTAAACAATGCTGCATTGAATATGAGAGTGCAGATATCTCTTCAATATCTAATTTCGTTTCCTTTGGATAAATACCCAGAAGTAGAAGTTCTGGATGATATGATAGTTCTATTTTTAACTTTTTGAGGAACCTCCATCCTGTTTTCCATAATGGCTGCACCATTTTACATTCTCACCAAAGGGAACAAGGGTTCCAATTTTTCCACATCCTCGTCAACACTTATCTCTTGTCTTTTGTGATAATAACCATTCTAATAGATGTGAGGTGATATCTCATACTGTATTGTATACTTGAAATTTGTTAAGAGGATAGAGTTTAAGTGTTCTGATCACAAAAAAGAAAGAAAATGGTAACTATGTGAGGTGATGGGTATGGTAATTATCTTGACTGTGGTGATGATTTCACAATGTATTATCAAAACATCAAGTTGTACACCTTAAATGTATACAGTTTGTTTTTTGGTTTTTTTTTTTTTCTGCTGAGAAAGATTCACCCTGAGCTAACATCTGTTGCCAATCTTCCTCTTTTATTATGTGAGCCACCACCACAGCGTGGCCACTGACCATCGAGTGGTGTGGTTCCGTGCCCAGGAACCAAACCTGGACCACCAAAGTGGAGCACGCGGAACTTTAACCACTAGGCCATCAGGGCTGGCCCAGGTGTATACAGTTTTTGTTTGTCAATTATGTCTCAATAAAGCTGGGGAATTTTCCATAGGATATGCTTTTGACATGATTTCTATGTTATAACCAAAATGTGGCTGACTTCATTTGTCAATTCCTGCCTCAGTTAAACAAGCAAATTTTTTAAAAAGTTAACCCTCTGCATTCAGAAAAGAGAGGGAAAAATTAAAAGGCTGGACTTTCATTAACGACTGTCTATGTTGTAGTACCTCCAATTTCTTATGGCTCACTAGCCGTAATCTCAAACTGCAGACTAAGTATCTCCACCAGCGGTTCCACTCATTCCATTCCTTTGTCCTTCCAAAATGCAATGCTTCATTATTCATTTCAAACCATTCCTGCTCTGGTTTGTTAATGTTGCTCTTCATTGCACTTGCTCTCCCACACACCTGGGTTAAAACCTTTCCATGCCTACTTCACCTGGTTGGGTGTTAAGTTTCATCAAGCCTGACTTCACACAGTCTCCCAGGATCCTGAATTAGGGTCCACTGGCCTCTGTCTCCCTGAAGCTTTAAACAGCAGCTTGGAATTCACCACTATTTTGGGTTGCTTGGTGTAATTTGCTCCATCCTCTCAAGCTTTGAGCACAGAAACCTGTCTTTGAACTTCTTTTGCACATCTGAAACGTCATGAAGAAGTCCAGGCCTTGCATCTCTCTATTTCTTCTGTCTCAAAATAGCTGAATTATTATCAGTCTAGCTATGAGCTATTTAAATCAATCTTGTCCAGTGCCTATTTTGATGCATTTTTGTTTGAAAATTTTAACCAACTTATTTCATTACAATGTTAAAACATTTGGGCACAAAATGGTTTAAGACAATTTATTGAACAATGAAAGAGTATAAACCAAATGAATATTACAGAATTATCCTGAAGTCAATAAATATGTTATTTACTAAATATAGTCCATAAAGGCCTGATATTTTCTGGACAAAATTTTTTTTTATTGAGGTATAATTGACATATAACATTATATTAGTTTCAGGTGTACAACATAATGATTCAATATTTGTGTATATTGGACAATGATCACCACAATAAGTTTAGTTAATATTCATCACAATACATAGTTGCAAAATTTTTTTTTCTTGTGATGAGAACTTGAAACATCTGCTCTTAGCAACTTTCAAATATGCAATACAGTGTTATTAACTATAGTCATCAAGCTGTACATTATTATCCCATGACTTATTAAGTTGGTAACTGGAAGTTTGTACCTTTTGACCCCCTTCACCCATTTTCCCACCCCTCACCCCTGACTGGCAACCACCAATCTGTTCTCTATATCTATGAGCTTGGGGTGTGTGTGTGTATGTGTGTGTGTGTTTAGATTTCACATGTAAGTGAGATCATATGGTATTTGTCCTTCTCTGTCTGACTTATTTCACATAACATAATGCCCTCAAGGTCCATCTATGTTGATGCAAATGGCAAGATTTCATTCTTTTTTATGGCTGAATAGTATTCTACTGTATATATATACCACATTTTCTTTATCCATTCATCAATTGATGAACACTTAGATTGTATCCGTTGTAAATGGAACACTTAGGATGGCCATTGGGGGTGCGTGTATCCTTTCAAGTTAGTGTTTTTGTTTTCCTTGAATAGGACTCAGAAATGGAATTACTGGATCATATGGTAGTTTTAATTCTTTGAGGAACTTCCATACTGTTTTCCTTAGTGGCTGCACCAATTTACATCCCCACCCACAGTGTACAAGCTTTCCCTTTTCTCCACATATTCACCAACACTTGTTATTTCTTATGTTTTTGATAATAGCCATCCTAACAGATGTGAGGTGATATCTCATTGTGGTTTTAATTTGCATTTCCCTGATGATTAATGATGTTGAGCATCTTTTCATGTACCTGTTGGCCATCTGAAAGTCTTCTTTGGAAAAATGCCTATTCAGATCCTCTGCCCATTTTTTAATTGGATCATTTGTTTTTTTGCTATTGAGTTGTATGAGTTCTTTATACATTTTGGATATTAACCCCTTTTCAGATACATGATTTGCAATTATTTTCCCCCATTCAGTAAGTTACCTTTTCATTTTGTTGATGGTTTCCTTTGCTGTGCAGAAGCTTTTTAGTTTGAGGTAGTCCTACTTGTTTATTTCTGCTTTTGTTGCCCTTGGTTTTGGTGTCAAATCCAAAAAATCATTGCCAAGTCCAATGTCAAGGAACTTACCACCTATGTTTTCTTCTAGGAGTTTTATGGTTTTAGATCTTACATTCAAGTCTTTAATCTATTTTGAGTTGATTTTTGTGTATGGTATAAGATAGTGGTCCAGCTTCATTCTTTTGCATGTGGTTGTCCAGTTTTCTCAACACCATTTATTGAAGAGACTGTCCTTTCCGCATTGTACATTCTTGGCTCCTTTGTCATAAATTAACTGACATATGCGTGGGTTTATTTCTGGGCTCTCATCTGTTCCTTTGATCTATGTGTCTGTTTTTATGCCAATACCATACAGTTTTGATTACTGTAACTTTATAATATAGTTTGAAATCAGAAAGCATGATGCCTGTAGCTTTGTTCTTCTTTCTCAAGATTGCTTTGGCTGTTTGGGGCCTTTTGTGGTTCCATGCAAGTTTTAGGACTGATTGTTCTATTTCTGTGAAACACGCCTCTGGAGTTTTGATCAGGATTGCATTGAATCTGTAGATTGCTTTGGGTATTATGGACATTTTAACAATATTAATTCTTCTAATCCATGAGCACAGAATATCTTTCCATTTATTTGTGTCTTCTTCAATTTCTTTCATTAATGTCTTATAGTTTTCAATGTACAGGTATTTCACTTCCTTGGTTACATTTATTCCTAGGTATTTTATTCTTTTTGATGCAATTGTCAGTGAGATCGTTTTCTTAATTTCTCTCTCTGATCTTTTGTTATTAGTGTATAGAAACACAACAGGTTTTTGTATATTGATTTTGCATCCTGAGACTTTACTGAATTCATTTATTCTAGCAGTTTTTTTGGTGGAATCTTTAGGGTTTTCTATATATAAATACGTTATCTGCAAATAGTAACAATTTTACTTCTTTCCAATTTGGATGTCTTTCCTGGACTAAATTTTGAAGTACAAATGTTGGTATGAAAAAAACCAAAACAATAGGGGATGAAAGGTAAAAATTTTTTTAAAGACTTTTTCTGGAGGATGAAGTTTTAAGTTCACAGCAAAATTGAGAAGAAGGTATAGCAATTTCCCATGTACTTCCTTGCCTTCACACACAGCCTCCCCTAACATCAACATCCCCCACCAGAGTAAAAACAAATTTTACATGTGTTATAATTGATGAACCTACATTGACACATCACTGTCACCCAAGGTCCGTAGTTTACATTAGGCTTCACTTTTGGTGTTCTACTTTCTATGGGTTTGGGCAAATCTATAGTGACACGTATCCATCCTTATGGTATCATACAGAATAGTTTCACTGCCCTAAAAATCCCTGGTCTCCACCTTCTCATCTCTTTCTCTCCCCAAACTTCTGGCAACCACTGATCTTTTTACTCTTCATAGTTTTACCTTTTTTAGATGGCCTGTAGTAGGAATCATACAGGATGTAGCCTTTTCAGATGGGCTTCTTTCACTTAGTATTATGCATTTAAGTTTCCTTCATAGTGTTTCATGGCTTGAGAGCTCATTTCTTTTTATCGCTGAGTAACATTCCATTGTCTGGATATACAACAGTTTGTTTATCTATTCACCTACTAAAAAACATCTGGGTTTCTGTTAAATTTTTTTAAATGCAAAGATTACTTGACTTTTTCTAAAAACATATCTTTCGATAGGAGACAAACTTTTTTATTATTATTTATGAGGTGGAAAGAAAAAGACCTGGAATTATCTTCCTCATAGTGTTCAATAGAGTTTGCATCCAAATAATTATCTATGTTTTAGAGGTTTGTTTGCAGATGTGAATGTATTTTCTCAGAAATGTATCATAATCTGTTACATTGTAAGAATGTTTTGCAAAGGCTTCTTTAACCCTAATGTAGTTAAATAATAA